CCCAGGCAAGTGGCATGTCAAATCCAATGAACAATATTGTGAGAGGATGGCCTCTTTGCCTCCAAGCAGTAACGGCTACTTGTGAGTCGTGTCTATTCTCAATTCTGCCACCCTTTTGCCAGCCAAAGAGAATGAGCCTTTATAACACGACTGTTTAGAGGTTCTGGAGGCTATATATTCTAGCAGGATGGATCTGTCAGATCAGCCGATGCCAGAGCAAGACTGGGATCGTTTTCATTGATGGGAGCAGCTTTATGGATGACAAGGGGCTGGATATGCAGTGATCATGGCAGTGGCACTGCCACCTGGGACTTCAGCCCCGGAAACTAAGCTGCAGTTATCGAGAGGAAAAAGGTAAACATTTATACAGACTCTAAATGTGCTTTTATGATTGTGCATGTTCATAGTGCCATTTGAAAGAAAAGGGGTCTCCTGATGGCAGGAAATAAGAATATTAAGTATGTCACTGAAATAATGGCCTCGATACAGGCCGTGGCTGAGCCCAAGGTGGTGGCCGGAATGGCAAAAAGAAGTCAGGACACTGGCAGAGCTGCTAAGCAGGCCGGTGGAGGTGATTTGTTCCTCAGGGCCTTGATATCCCGGCTAGATTTAGACCCCCTTAAAAACTAAAGGCTGGGGCTCTGACATTTGGGATGGCACAACTAAAGATGACAAAATTCTCATAAACTCATCTCCTACCCAAAGCTTTGGGTCGGCCTCTTATGAGGCACCTACATCAATACGCGCATTGGGAACATAATGTCTTGATGGATTTGCTGTGATGCCTTAATGGATTTGGTGGGATCTCATTTGAGAGGACCCTGTTCACAACTACCTGTTTAAGTACATGTATACTTATTTATTCTTAATTTTCTTTTAATTTCCAAGGGCCTTGATTCATATCCCAGAAGCTGGTCAAGGTAAACCTATAATCCAGATTTCCTGACCAGATTAGTGGTTTTTCTAACACACCACTCGTAATTTGTATTAATAGATAATAATCTCAAAAAACCCCACCTCCAAACGTGTATGAATCTATATAATCTGCCTAAAAGTAACTGGCTACATTTTTCCATTCTTCATACAAAATGAATCCTCTTATAACTCAAAGTATTTTTCAGTTTACATCAAGTAGAATTGGAAAAAGGCTTTAAATTGGTTTTAGGGGTGGAGTGGCTCTAAAAAAGGAATGTGATGATATATGCAATAAGGGCAGTAAAAACAAAATTTTAAGACTCTGCTCTGCAAAAACACAATTCTAAGAGTAACATTTACCTAATTACTGACTTGAAGGTGTAACTGTAAAACAAAATTTTTTAAACAGATAGTTAGAATACTTTCTTTAAATGTCTCACTATTTAAACTTAATGTCAAAATTAAAAGAGATCGTTTTAGAAATGAGGAAATTCAGACCCAAGAAAATGAAGTAACTTGCTGGTAAAGAACAAAGCTAGGTATGACATAAAATAAGTTCCAGTGAATATATTTTTATAAAATATGATCTTAATAACTTTTGTTGAAAAAAACTAAAGGCTAAAAATCTTAATTATGTTTTAAATAAACATTTGTAATCAATGCCATACTGGTTTAGAATTCATAAGAGACCATGCTCAAATTTACATTTGCTTAGAAAATGATTTCTCCCCTAGAAAAGAAAACTAGTAAGATTATAAGAGAAAATATTATAAAGTACAGTCAAAAAATATTTATTGATCACCTATTATGTGAGAGGAACTATTTTAGTCATCTGGGATATTATAAGTATAGAAAATACTTTTAAACATGCTTAAAATATGGTAATTGTGTGTATATAATTATAATAGGTAATTATAAATCATTCTTTTTTCCACTGAGGTAGATCCACAAGTATTTTTAAAGCAGAACTTTCAGTATTGTTACTACTATACTTAAAAATGATAAAAATGTATTTTTAAAACATATATCATTCAGACCAGGCAGGGTGGCTCATACCTGTAATCCTAGCACTTTGGGAGTTCAAGGCAGGAGGATTGCTTGAGGCCAGGAGTTGGACACCAGCCTGAGCAAGAGCGAGACCCTGTCTCTACAAAAAATAGAAAAATTAGCCACGTGGTGGTGTGAGCCTGTAGTCCTGGCTTCTCAGGAGGCTGAGGCAGAAGGATCACTCAAGCCCAGGAGTTTGAGGTTGCTGTGAGCTATCATAACACCACTGCACTCCAGCTAGGGCAACAGAGCAAGACCCTGTCTCAAAAAAATATTTATTTATTTATTTGTGTGTGTGTCTGTGTGTGTGTATCAATCAATCAAAGTTGTTCAGTGTGAATCTACTTCAAACTGAATCACGAAGGTGATCTGGAATATGAAAGGATCCTAAACAAACAAACCCTTAGAACTACTTACAGATTTGTACCTGAAACAGGTCCTCAACATCATCAAGATTAGGAATATAGTTAATTAGTATAGTAATTGTGGAATGAGACTGAGGAACTCCAGCATCAGGAGCAGCCGCATAGTCAGAAATTATTTCTACTCACTGTAACATAAGAATACTGCTTTCTGTAACTATGATTGTGCATTTCTGGAACAATCTCATACACATATTTTCCTGTTTCTTAGTGTGAATTGTACACTGCCAGTCACTATTAAAAAAAAAATCTCAGACTAATAGAGGCCAAATTTAGAGAGGGAAATAAAAATCTTCCTTCAGTGTAGGCTACATGGACTGATTACACAAAGAACTCCATACATCCGAAAGCACACAGATGTCTGCGCTGGTTCCCAGGGCTCAAACAATACCAGTCATTCAACAGCTTTCCTTTTACGTAAGTTGATGTGAGAGCTCAGTCAGCTCTTCTGAACCTCATAAACCCAGCATCCTGAAACTCTGATAAAGTCTACATTTTTCCTGAGCACTATTTTCATGTACTTTGTCTGGAAAGCAAATTTTATATTTCTTCCAAAGAAATAAATCTGGAAATCATCTCTTCTGTTTGACAAGTAAGTAACATACTGTACCTATAATTACTTTTCCACTGAAACCACAATCCATGATACAAATCTAAGATCATTAACACTGAAAGACTGTTTAATAGATTTTTCAATGCATGAGTCGAAAATATAATTTTAAATACACTCTATCATGCTAATTATCAAATGCATATATACACTATTTTGCTGGATTCTATGTTTGCAGTTGTGTAATTTTTTATATAGCCATAACACAAAATAATTTCTCAAAACTTAAATTTTCAGAGAACTGTTAAAAGAGGGAAAAAGGAGACTTTTCCTTCTCTTTCTCCCTCCTCCTATAATAACCACAGACATCAAAAATAATAAAAGGTGTTTCACTGAGTATTTGATCAAACCTTTAGGCCTTAGGAAAAAGATAGTTATTCTTCACTAAACCACCTTCAGAAGCTAAATAACACTACCTTCTACCTTCAAAGCACATTGTTATTGATTCTTCAGTAATTATCAGCTGAATCTCTGGTGAATGCACACATAAATTAAAGCCACAGAAACCCAAATGTACATTTTAGGCATATGGTAAACTTACTTCCTAAGACACTCATCAGACCTGCTACCCAGAAGCAAAACTCATTAGATTAAGGAGACAAACGAAGAATGATTAATTTACTCACTAAATTATTAGAGCCCAAATAGTTAAGAGTTGACTACATATTCAGCTGCCTTTAATATGTACTATCACATAGACATAATCCCTTATAGAAACGATCAAGATGATGTTCCAGAATTTGATAATCAAGCTATTTATGTCCCATCCTCCTTAAGAGCTCTTGTGGCCCTTCTAATTCCTTTAACACCCTTCCCCTCTCCAAATATATATTACATAATGCAAATAAACATGCTTTGAAGAAGAAAAAGTTGTCTCTCCCAAGTTGTCTATCCTTAAATAGATAGTAAATCTTTAAGGTAGACCCCTCTCTCCCCAACCAGAGTACAAAATGCAGAGCTGGAACGTACTAACCATTTAACAGATATCTGGTGGGATTTCATCATCACCCTTACAGTGGTAAGATTGAACTTGTCAAGAAGAAAAAGAAAAAGGGGGAAAAAAAAAAAAAGAACTTCATCTTTCACCAACACTTCATCTTCCCTAACAACCACTGAAAGCACCAAATTCTATGTGTTCTATAAAGCAATAACCTCAGAAACATTTCAACACCCCAAGACTTACAAACCATTAGCAAAACACAAACTCCATTTCTCAGAAATATTCTTAAAAGTTCTCAACAACCAAATTCTTTGATCAGTACAGTTCACTGCACATACAACATCATTTCAGGGTCATGTTTAGATAGTTATCTATACTTAGCCATGACAGACTCCAGCATGACAATTAATTGAATAAAGAAATATCAAGGAAGGGTATACAGTAGGATTGAGGCACAGTAACAGAGAAGCAATGTGGAGATACAGTTCTCATTTTGCAATAGGATTTACCCAGAGCTTTAAGTTTCCCTTCTCATTAGAAAATAAACCTGTACTACAATATATGTTAAGCTAACATATATAACCAGAAATGAGTTATTTAACAACTTCACTTTTATTTTTCATTCAACACTGATATATTAAATAACACTTCTGAGTTTAATATACTAGTATCACAAAATGATTGTGTATATAATAAAAGTTATAAGATCTAGAAGTTTTTTGTAATCTCATCTTGAGCTATCAAATACTACTCTTGTTAGGTCTTCATTCCTTCTCTCCCCTCTAATTATCCTCTGATAATTATGACAAATAAATGCAGAAGAAAAATCAAGAACTATGAACATTACTAGTCCACTCCATAAATGCTATTAGAAACACAAAACTACTGAAACACTTTAAGACCACAGCATAACTTTCCACATTAAAGTCTACTTGACAAAGAAGTCCAACAAGTCTAAAACTCCTATTTTTGATCTTTCTTTTCTCTTGGGGTGAGGGGGGTATATGCCAGTGGAGAGAAGCCCGGAGGAGATGCAATGACCTTTGTACATTACACAAAAACTTACCCACTTGAAGGATCTAAGGCAATAGCTCTGGGTTGATCCAACTCTTGCCAAAATAAAACTTTTCGTAAAGATCCATCTAAATTAGAAACTTCAATCCGATTAGTTTCAGAATCTGTCCAGTACAATTTTTCTCCAAGCCAATCGCATGCCAGCCCATCAGGGGACAATAATCCAGAAACAACAACATTCTGTACACTCTCAGTTTTGTTAAATTCTGTTCGTTTAATGGCTTCTTCGCTGACATCACTCCAGTATATCAAGCCATGACCAAACACAAAGTCCACCGCAGCTGCATCCTCCAAGCCTCCAACTACAATCGTAGCATTCTCTCTGCCATTCGTAGCATCAACCAATCGCAAGTCCCGTCTGTTTGCGTAAAGCAACAAAGGGGCCGCTGAAACAAAAAAAGAAAAATATGTAAGTAAAAAAAAAGAAAATGTATTGATTCTTACAAATTGGGTTTCAAATTGGCGTTAGTGAGCAAATACTATCAAAAGAAAGAAGAGAGTAAATGAATCAGTAGGAGACTAAAATTTTTTCACACACAAAATAATATTTTTACAGCATTTTAAAAACAAAAGATAGTGAGTGAGAGGAGGAATTAATTCCACTGGGACAGTCTTTTCCTGTTGAAACAGTCTATCAGACAACAATTAAACAGCTTGGCTATCCCAAGAATTGGCAACGATGGAGAGCTATCTCATGGGAATGTAAAGTGGTGCAGCAACTTTGGAAAACAGTTTGGCAGTTTCGTAACAGCTTAAACAACCTACCATACAATCCAGCCATTCCACTCCTAGGTATTTACTCAAGAAAAATAAAAACATATGTCAATACAAAGACTTGTACATAAATTTTCATAGCAATTTATCTGTAATAACCCAAACTGGAATCAACTCACATATCAACAGACTAATGGATAAACAAACCGTGATACTGCTATACAATAGAAAGTAATGAACTATTTGTACGTGAAAAATGGGTGAATCTCAAAATAATGCAGAGTGAAAGAAGCCAGACCAAAAAATGAGTATATATTGCATGACTCTCATCTGTATAAAATTTTAGAAAAGGCAAACTAATCTATTATGACAGAAAGCAGATCAATGGTTGTCCTGAGGTAGGGAGAGGAGTGGAAAACTTGACAGGGAAGAATTATAAAGAAGCATGAGGAAACTTTTGTGGGTAATGGGCTACGTTGTCTTCATTATGATAATGGTTCCAGAGGTGAATATATGTCAGAACTTGAATTTTACACTTGACATAAGTGCAATTTATTGTATATCAATTACACCTTAATAAAACTGTTAAACAGTCTGGCAGAGATAGTTCTTAATAAAACTATTTTATTCTGTTCCATATTATTAATATTATTAGAATGACCTTTGAATAGATCTAATACCAGAACTAAATATAAAGGCTATCTTAAAGAAATATCATTTAACTTTGAGAAAGGTGAAGCTATTAAATCTGGAGTAGTATAATTCCACATTTCGGCTTTTTTTTAAATATCTATTTTAGGTTTCTGACATTTACTTTCCTAGTATCAAGTAGTAATTAAAAATGTAGAGCACCGCTATCCTACAGAACTTTCTATGGTGATGGAAATGTCCTCTCCACTTCACAACACAGTAATCACCAGTCACATGCGGCTACGGAGCACTTAAAAATGTGGCTAGTGTGCCGAAAGAATTAAACTTTTCATTTTATATAATCTTAATTCTCTTAAATTTAAATAGACAAATGTGGCCAGTAGTCATATTAGCGCAGATCTAGAGGCTGGAAGGAACACAAATGAGGTAGCAAAAATAAGACCACAGTTATGATGCAATAACCTACATGATTTTCTTTCATAATCATTTACTAAAGGTCTAAAATTCTTTCATCCAACACCAAGCCCAAGTATCATTTAAAAGGAACCATTACGAGCCTGAGCAACATAATCCAAGACCTCATCTCCACAAAAAATTTAAAAATGCAAAAAAATTAGCCAGGTGGATGGCAAGCACCTACCCCAGCTACTTGGGAGGCTGAAGCAGGAGAATCGCTTGAGCCCAGGAGTTCAAGGCCACAGTGAGCTATGATCACACCACTGCACTATAGCCTGGGTGACAGAGCTCTTGCTCTTGCTCAGGCTGGTCTCAAACTCCTGATCTCAAGCCACTGCCCCTGGGCTCAGATTCACTTTTCACTCATTTCAGGCCTTCACACATCACACTGATTTATCAGTCCCCACAGACTTCACTGCATTATCTTATAATCAGACTCGCATGTTATAAGCCAAATATAAATATCAGAAAAAAGGTCCCTACTAATAAACGATACAATGCTAAGTTCTGCATGAGAGCTAAGAAATAGCTCCAAAGCACTTAAAATTTTGAAGTCCAAGAGTGATAATAATCTAATATTGATTGGGCACCTTCTTTATAGCACTCTCCTTGGAAAATTGTTTGTATATCAAATTTGTGTAAGACATCAGATGACAGCCAAATGTCTTTCATGACTTTCAAGTCAAATATTAACATTTTTTTACGTGTACTGGACATTTTTGGTCTACAAAATCCAAAGAACCTTTCTGGTCACGAGCCTTCTGAGTCCAAAAAAAGAGTGAAGGGGGCAACTTAATCTTTTTGAAGTTAGCAGTACTGATTATAACTGAGGATTTCTAAAGGATTGTACATAAACCATACTATTAAAAGGAAATCCCACAGTTCATCCCATCCAAGCATCCTTCTGATGCTTGAATACTTTCTACCATATTGTCACCAATATCTGTTCAGCAATATATTAATTAGGATATGGGATAGTTATAATGTGATCTATAACATTGTTTTTACCTACCAAAGAGATACATTGGATCCACACACACTTGCCCTTCGATATCTTTCATTATAGAGAGCTTACGTTCCAACTTCCTAATACTCAGACAACCCAAATAACCACCATCACATCTCTTTAGTGGAACACTCATGCTGCTCAAGAATCCTTGTTTTCCATTATTAAATTCTTAGCAAATTTCTCCAGCAGCCTTTCTAAACTTTTTCTGTTTTCCTGAAGACAAATTCCATGCCGTAAATCCTTCATTCTCAGATCACCTTATATTAATAAAATAATCTCAATGAAGCAGGAAGCAAGGTAAATGTCATACAACCCCAACACCTTAATTTATACTTCTCAAAAATTTCTCTGTATCTCCACCTAACCTCCCTTACCTTGTCCTCAATCTCAAACGACAAATTGCCCTTCCTTCTTTCTAAGGCTAAAGCAATACTTTTGGTTCAGTCTCCCTACCTCCTCTCTACAACTTTGCTCTATCAATTAATTGTTCTGTATTTCTTGTATCTTCAGTGGCTCATGCCAGGTTCCTACTACCAAAAACTCTGTTTTAATAACCCTAACCTTGCTACCACCAAGAGAATAATTATATGTCTGCTAACCGCAAAATCTTTTAACACTGGTTTACACTTCATACCACCATTCATTAGCTATTAACTCCTTTCGTCTAACTTCCTACCCATCGCTCAACTGAAAATGCTTTCTCCAAGTCTTTATAACCAAATCCAACAGCCTCTTCTCAGTCCTTGTTCTTGAACTCTGCAACACTCAACGTTGTCGACTATATCCCTACCTATGTAGAATGTCCTCCTCACAGTGTACTACCTATTATTCCTGTGTGCCTGCCTTTTGGTTTCAAACCTTCCACTTCCCGTATGTAGGTATCCCAAGACTCTCTGTTGTTCCCCAAATGAGAGCATATAAAAAATTACCCAAGTTCACCTGGTCAACAAGCAACTCTATGCAGCTAATTTCCAAAACACCTTTTCCAGTTCCGCCCCTCTCACTTCTTGTTGGCTGTCTCTACCTACCACTAAATTAAATTCATCACCTTCCCCCCACAAAACAATTCCTCATCAGTGATACCACAATTCTAATCTTACAGGCATGCCTTGGAGCCACTTTTGACTCTGTCCTTTTCCCCAATATGCGAATTACTGTCTTGCTGACTCTTCTGCAGCATGTCTTTAAATCTGCCTCTTCGTCTCCATTTTTAGAACCACCATCCTGCTCTAGACCTTCAAGATCTTAGACCTAAACAATCCTAACAGTAAGTGATCTCGAAACTCCCCCTTTCCTTTTCTACTTCTAATACTTTTACTTTATCCAACTGAAAAAGCTTTCTGACTCCCCTGGCCTAAACCAAAAATCTTCGGTACCTCAGTCCTCCACATGACTTCTGTCAAGGACTCTCAATTTATCTTTCACAGTCTCTGCATCACACAAACAGCTTTTCAACATGTAAACTGAGAGTATATCATGCTCCATCACCACCATGTATTCATTTTCCTGCCCACTCCAAACTTCTCTCCCTTCCTCCCAGCAAGCAAATCTAAGTCCTTCAAGGCCAGATTCAAATCTTATCTACTCTGTGAAGCTTTCTAATTGCCTCAACTTTCCTTCTTTGAGCCCTTATAGTCCTTACTGCTTACTTAATACTAGCATTTCTTAAAGCATACTTCCTACCTCAACTAGGATCTCAGCCCTTTGGGAACAGCAGCCACATCTGATAACTAATTTTATCACCAATACCTAGTACTATTCACGGAATACAGTAATATGGTACACATATTTACTAATATTTAAAAGCAATCTTCTAGAACCTGACCTAAAAATATATTTGCCATAAACCCAAAGGGATTTTACAGTACTTGAAGTACTGACCAAGAGCTCACAAATGCCCCTACTTATCCGTTGACTTGGCCTGATCAAAGTTTTATCAAGCTTCTCTCTTCCCCACAAACCTTTTGAACTTAGGCTAGCCCTAAGCTTAAGCCAGCAGATGCAGAGCATCCTCTCATAACAACTCATGCAGACATCCACTGACAGCAGGAAAAAAACATCTGTTAAAGCACCCTGGTCACGTCATCTGCTACCCCCAACCACTTGCCCACTCTCCCACAAAGATCCTGCTGGCACTGCTCACCCCCACCTATAAAAGAAAAGCCTTTTTGTGTTTGATTTTGAAACACCTGCAGATCTTGTGGTCAGAGCATTCTCTCTATTCCAACAGTCTTTTCAAATGAAGTCTCTCCCTACATAAACCCATCTTTATTTTTATTTGACATGTGTATGGTGACATGACTTGGATGGGGACTAGACTTCAGCTAGGAACGTGTGCCATCTCCACCTTGATAATAGCACTTCTGTGAGTCACTCAAGTGTCCCTCCTGTTCAGAGATTCAGGGATCTTTCCCTGAGAACTCTTGAACCAGTGATCCAGACATCTTGTCTGTTGCAACACAGTAAGGGGTTACTTTGATTGTTTCAAGCAAAGAAACTGTTTCTTTGGCTCTCCCTGACCCTTGAGCAGGAACATTCCTTGCTCTTGTGTGACAT